TGAGCCTTCCAGGTGACAGTGGTTTTCCTCCCTCAGGCTCCTTCTATCAGTTTGGACCTCTCCTTTGCACTTATCACATTCTCCCTCGCATCATAGTTATCTGTGTTGATGTTCTGTCTCCATCCCCAGAAGATAACAAGTTCCTTAAGGGCAAGGCCTTGGTGGTGTTCATCTTTGTTATGTCCAGAACCTAGAACACAATGCCTTACACATAATAGACATGTAAATAACGTTTATTAGAAATGAATTGTGCTGGAACATATGTGAATAAAAGAATACCTACCTGCACATTGGCTTCAGTGTAGTTATGTGAAAATGAGATTTTACACTGGGCAGGAGCTCACAGATGTTTGCACTTACAGTTTACACCAACTTAAGGTTGGTGGTCCTCCCTAGCATACATTACACCATGCCATCTCTTATCCCTCTTCTGTGTGGGCTGCAAACAAGAAAAACTCCCATACCACAAGCGACAAAACTTGCCAGATGTACGTAATCCTTGGGACTCCACAGTAGGCTGGACCATACCACTTGTGCAGCTCCTCAGGGGACTCAGAAGTCTCCCAACAAACACACTCAGAGCTGGGGAAAGTTCAACAGGCAAACAGTCAGAAAGGACTGCAAGCTGGGTGGCTGGAAAGAGGCAGGAAGGAGTCTGGGCCCAAGACAAGAGAAAGGGGAAGAAGAGACAAGAGTAAGCAAGAAGACATTGACAGCTGAGGAAAGAGATGTCTGAGAGCACTGGGGAGGAAATCCACACAAGGAGTCAGGGGAGATGAGGAAGGCTCAGAACAAAGGCAGTTCCGGCTGAGAACCATAAGGTAGTATCACTGCGCACCTGGGCAAAAGCAGCTGGGTGCTATAATAGAAGCCTCCCACTTACCACACCTCTTGACATCTACTCCTCACCAAAAATCGAGTACCAGAATCATTCATGGCAAGGAATGGAGTCTTCCATATGGTCTCCATGCTAAATTTGGGCGCTTTCTGTCAGTGAAAGGTGGCACAGATGGAGTTTTAAGTGCATGGGAACATTAAAAAAAAGAAAATTTTAAAACCATAAAACTGACAAAGTGAACCAGAGATGGGAATATTTTTCTACCAGCAGCCTTTGACCCACAAAAGTCAACTGAGATCTACGAATAAAAAGCAACTAATTTTGAATTTTGTGACTCCAAGAGAAAAATACGTAATATTCAATTTGCCTTCATTTTAAAATTAGGAACTGGAAACATACCATTTTATTCAACATATATAACAAAGAACCACCAAAAAAAAATCCAGGTTTGAATCGTAGAAGTAAGTCGCGCTTACTACCTGTGTAACTTTGAGCAAGTCACTCCCCCTCTGAGTCTGATTCCTCATCTATAAAATGGGAATATAAATACACTATCACTTGTGATGAGACAAGTACTTTGTACAAAAAAGTGTTATCAAAATGTCAGCTATTATCAGCAAAGGGAGACACAAAAGGGGGGAAGGAGATGACAAGAAGGATAATGTGAGAGAGAAGATAGAAAAGGAGAATGCAGAGAAGGAAGAGAGTGATGCAAGCGTGAAGACTGGGAGGAGAGAAAAGGAGAGCAGAAGGACTGACAAGGACGGGGAAATACAAGAGATGAAGCTCAAGATGCTTAGGGCCGTGAGCAGGAAGCCTATTCCTCTGTCACACCCTATTGTTTACTTAGACTGTCACACCAGAGCAAATTATTACCTGTAAATACTAAATAGTTCTCCAGAAGTCCTTTCTTCACTAGGACGCAGTTTGCTTTTTATGTTCAATCTTCAGAGTATATTTCTGAAATAAAAGTTTATTTTTCCTATGGAAGTTCTGTACTATGTAAAACGGTGATTTTGGTTTTAGAAATTCACGTTAGAAACTCATTAATTATTAACTCATTTCGTGTCTATACCTGGAAGTACACTTTTAGATTCAAAAGCCATCAAACTGCCTTATCTTTAAAGCAGAGCTGCCTCTTTTCATAGGCCCAAAGGTTACATTTGAAACTAACATTCAATTCGTTCTTCTGAGCCTTCTCCCCACCTTCAATAGAATTGAGGGTACTTTTTTTTAAATCTTTGGTCCTAGTGGGGAAAAACAGGGACCAAAAGAAATTACTGGAAGCCTTTTCAAGAACAAATGGGTCAGAACTACTCATAGCTTCTGTCTCTTCTTATCAAACCTTAAGAGGCTCTGAAAGGGACAGAAATAATGGGCCCCTGTTGGTGAATTCTGCTCAAGACTGCAGCACAGTGAGCAAAGCAATATCACCTCCATATCGTACTTATTAGAGATAGTAAGCCAGAAAATTAGTGAAATACAGCTTTTGTCCAATATTATTATCTTGCTAGGTAACAAATCGTGCATCTCAGTGAATGGCAACAAGAGGGATGTAATATCTTTAATTTAACAATTACAGTTAGTCAAGGGTGTCACCTTAGGTGTCACTATTCTGTGGTTTCGGTTCGTCAAAAGCTAACATCCCACCCTCCACCCTAGTCCGAGCCCTGTAAGCCAGTACTAATAAGCCTAATGCATAAATCTGGGTGAAAACTAATTGAGCCACCAAGTAAAAAGGAAGTTCTGCAGTAGCCCCTGCAGAATTCACCCTTCTTACCAACTGACTCCTTTAAGTACTCAGTTCAATGTTAATGCAGTATAGAGTAAGAATACCCCACCTCGAAGTGTAAAATACTGCCACTGCACATGGCAAACTTATAAAGAAAAAGGCTTCTCATTCATCATGGGAAATTCCTTAGATGAGGGACCCAAGGAGTTGTCGACAGCAAGGGAGTCAAGTCAAGCTCAATTTCTCCATTCTTTATTAAAGCTAGGTTCTCCAGCTGACAAGGGTGAGTATGGGATGGATGCATTTGGGGAGGGGTAGGCAGGAAGGGGGCCAAGGGGAACACAAGACATGCACCTGAAGAGACATGCCAGATGTGGAAAGGGATGGCATCTGGATCCCAGCACTGCTACAGAAAACTTGTCATTTCCGCAGCTCCTTTTCACCTCTCCAGGAACGCAGCACACAAACCCACTTCCCTCCCTGACACCCTATTTCTAGGGCTTCTGCTCCTCCTAGGGAAAGGGCAGAAATTGCTATGTAGGACACTGCCCATAGCTCAGGCACCATAATCTTTCTTGCCCAGGTATGATTGAGCCAAGAGCCAAGATAATGCTGCATAACTGATCAATATACGTGATTTCCCCCAAACATCGCTAATCCCCTCTGCATCACCACAAACCCCCTTAGTCCCCTCCCCTCCTATTCACCCCCATTCCCATATCACTTTTTAACCCTTCCCTGCTACTTTCCCAACCCACCCTCCCCCCCTTTCTAAGGCCTACCTCCCAACCCCAACTATTTGTGCTTCCCAACCCCAATTCCCCCAAAGACCCTCAGCAGCCCTGCCTCTCTCCCTCCTGGCCCTCAACACCACGCCTACATTATAGCAAGTGAAGTTGTAATGAATGAAATTGAATTCAAAATGGCAATTTTTTGGTACCGTTCAGACTGGCAAAGAAACAAAATGGTTTGCCGGTTATTTCCCAAGATGCCCTTTGCTGCTTTTTAAACTAATTGTGCAGTGTAGACTATAGAGTACTTTGCACATAATAGGCATTCAATAAACATTGGTTGTTCTGAATCCTAACTTGGTCATTAATTCATCATCTTTCCTGTGCAAATTACTTAACTTCTTAGTGTCTCCATTCCCTGCTCCATGAAACAGGAATGCTACTTTTCTATGGGAGTGCTGCTTGTAAACAGAAATACGACTCACCTCTAGTAATGAAGTAACTATAGAAAAAGAACTGGAAAGGACCTCCAGAGGTCATCTGGCCCATTCCCCTGCCTATAGGCAAGTGCATCTATCCTATTCCTAAAGATCTCTAGGAAAGAGATTCCATGACCTCCTTCAGTCAGTCACTCACAGCAGTGCTTAATTATATTTTAATCTATGAAGTGTTAAGTTCAGAAGAAAGGTGCTAAGTGAACCATATCAGCTTCAGGAGACATTAACCAGTTTGTGTGAAGATGCTAGTGCAGAGAATCTCTAGGTTTAGGGAAGATTTGGGAAGCAATAGAGCTTTTCCCGGTGACTGCGTTCACCTCCACATGAGTTTACGTGGAAACAATGAATCTATTTCACTTTAACTCACAACAGAGGGAACTCCAGAGAGGTGATCTACACCACTCAAAGAACTCACTAGAAGCAGCCTCATGGTTCACATAAACGTGTGATTTTCCACAGGCCTCTTTGTGCAACATACTTCTTTGCCTCTAGCTCTAGATCAGAGGGAGAGACAGCTAAGAATTCTAGAGAGATGACTGGAACCATAATCCACTTTACTACTATTGTCAAACACGCTACCAACCACTGATGACAAGACAAACTGGCCTATCTAATTAAGCCTGATGTCAGGCAACTGAGAAGTGTGGCAGTGGATGGTGATGCCTAAGGGAGTGCATTCAATCTGAAGCATAAGGCCTCAAATGTGCTTCCTTTCCCTTGCTGTGGAAACCTAATCTCTATAACCCAACCTTTACCTGCCCACAAACATACTGAGCTGGTTCATCTTCCCTCCAGAATACTCAGGATTTCCAGCAGAGAAGACAGTAATAGAATCAACATTCTTGACTACTATTCTATCAGTTGGTTCCATAACTCCACTTCAAGGCATGATCACAAAGAAGTAACATTAAAAGTTTTCTCGGTTTTGTTTCAATTCCCTTGAGCTAGGAACATAGATCTAATCTCTTTGGAATTCCTCTAAGCTTTCTTACCCACTGATCCACAAAAATAGAGAACGTAAGAATGACAGAGCTAGGAGGTACCTTAGGACATAGAATGTCAGAGCTGGAAGAGACCTTAGGACAGAAGAGGTTAGCAGTGGAAGGGGCCTTAGAACACAGAACACTGAATTTGGAAGGAACCTTAAAACATCAAACACAAAATGTCAGAAGTGGACAGGACCTTAAAACATAGAATGTCATAACTGGAAAGGACTTTAGAACATAGAAGACAAAATGTTAGAGATGGAAGGGACCTTAGAAATTATCTAGTTTTACCCCTAGAATAGGGACTCAACTTGCCAGAGTGATACCACTTGGCAGCAACAGGAATTACCAGGTTCTTACATCACTTCCTAGTCAATATTAAAATGAACTGAATTGACCTGAAGTCACCCATTAACCAAACACTTTTTACAAAGTTAGCTGAGAAGGGGGGGGGGGAATTCCATACCTGCAAGTTAAAAGTCACTCAGCTCCGCCCACTGCACCTGCAACCCAGACTTACGCTTTGATTCACAGACACCCCTGCTCCCTTTATCTAGTCCTATGCTACCAAGTAAGAGCCTCCTTCTGTTGCTCAAACCCAGGCTTACAGAGAAGAAAACCACGTGAGGGTTTTTTCCCACCCAATTCTGCATCAGAGTAAAATAAATAACACCACCATTCATGACTATTGGTTCGCTCTACGATATAAGCCCCAAATGGCATCATATTCCAGGCTGCTGAGACACCAACCTTCACTCTTCTGCATCTTTTCAATCTTTCCTAAACCCCAGCTCTCACCCCACCCTGCCCAAAGGCCACCTCTTCCTTGCCAGCCCCATTCAGAGATGTAGCTTCCTATCAGAGAACTGGAGCAGGAGAGAATCACAAATGTGAGGAGCTCGGGAAGTGCCAGGGACTTCAGAGAAAGCAGCTAAGCCCAGCTCCCTCCCGCCTGGGCCACTGTCTAAAGAGAGAAGGAGGAAGGAGCACGAAGTCAGGTGACACGCAGGAGATCTCACAGGGGTTACTTCCTATACCCAGCTCCCTGTGCATGGGGAGTCACAAAGGAAGGGACAAATGGTCTCTTGGGACTTGCCTCCTCCCAGCTCCCTCCTCACCCACCTCACATGAGGGTCTCCTCATAAGAGCAGGAGGGGCCAGGGAACATGGTGGATCCCTCAGATGCAAAGCTAGAGTTTCCCCCAAATTCCACCACAGTGTTACTACTGTCCCCTTTCTCCCCAGAAGGCCTGCTCGCTTGGTTCTGCCCTGGCCCTTCTGCTTTGGCTGCTGGCCCAGTTGTCGTTGTCCCACGATGAGTCTTCATGTGGGTGAGGAGATGAGAGCTCTGGGAGAATCGACGGCCACAAGCTGCACACGCATAGGGCCGTTCCCCTGTGTGCGTTCGCTGGTGGGTGACCAGCACAGAGCGCTGTGAGAACCTCTTCCCACACTCAGGGCAAGGGAAGGGCCGCTCACCCGTGTGACCCCGCCGGTGCTTAGCCAGATTAGAGCGCTGGGCAAAACCCCGTCCACAGTCTGCACAACGGAAGGGCTTCTCCCCAGTATGGGTTCTTCGGTGCCTCTTAAAGTCTGAACTATGGCCAAAGCCCTTGCCACAGTCAGGACACCGGTGTGGCTTCTCCTCTGCATGTGCCCACTGGTGTCGAGTCAGGGCTGCACTCTGCCCAAAACGCCGCCCACACTCCCCACAGGCATAGGGTCGTTCTCCCGTGTGTGCCCGCCCATGGGCTGTCAGGTGGGCCCTGCGGCTAAATCCAGCTCCACAAACCCCACACACAAAAGGTTTCTCCCCAGTGTGGCCACGCACGTGAGCAGCCAGGTGGGAGCCGCGGGCAAAGCGAGCCCCACACTCTGGACAGGGGAAAGGGCGTTCACCTGTGTGTGTGCGCCGGTGCCGTGCCAGGTGAGACCCATACACAAAGCTCTTCCCACAGTCTGCACAGCGATGTGGCCGGTCCCCAGCATGGTAGCGCTGGTGCTTAGCCAGGGCTGCCCGACGCCCAAAGGTCTTTCCACAGTCAGAGCATATCCATGGAGTCTCTTCTTCCAACATGGAAGAAGGCTGGGGGTCAGAAAGGAGGCTCCCAACAGAAGGGCCAAAAGATAGCAGTCCACTAGCACAGGGGTCACAAGGCATTGCTGTCCCATCAATTAGAGAGATCTGACCCCCTAAATGACCAGGGATAGGGGGAGCATCAACCAACTCGTGGGCCACCCTTTCTCCAAAATCCTGAAGGGCTAACATTGGGAGGTTCTCTCCATGGAGCCAAGATTTGGGTGGCAGTGGGAAGTGGAAGTCAAGAGGGTGAGAAGGACCTTCCCCTTCCCCAAAGCCATTCCCCAATTCAGGGTAGTTCCTATCTAGAACAGGGCCTTCATTTACAGGGTCCAAACCCTCCCCACCCAACTCAGGTCCCTCACTCTCTTCTCTTCTCGCTTCTTCTCTAAGATCAGAGCACTTCCCACCCCTTCGATGACGCTGGAAGTCTGCTCGAAGTCTAAAGGCCCGTCCACAATCAGAGCAGCAGTGAGGCTTCTCCGCAGTGTGGACAGCCTGGTGGCGGGCAAGGGCCGAGCTCTGACTGAAACTGCGGCCACACTGGGGACAAGGGTATGGCCGTTCGCCTGTGTGGGTGCGCTGGTGCGTCACCAGATAGGATCGGCGGCCAAAGCCAGCCCCACAGAAGGAGCAGCGGTAGGGCCGCTCACCTGTGTGGATACGTCGGTGGGTTACCAGGTGGGACTTATAGACAAAGCGCTTGCCACAGTCAGGGCAGGGGAAGGGCTTCTCTCCTGTGTGTGTGCGCTGGTGAATAGCCAGATGAGAACGATAAACAAAACCCTTTCCACACTCTTCACAACCGAAAGGCTTCACAGCTGCATGGTAGCGACGGTGCTTGGCCAGCCCTGACCGATGAGGGAACACCTTCCCACACACATCACACGTTGTCTCTGGCCTGCCCCCAGCTGCTTCCACCACTGCTGAGAATGCCCAGGGGGGCAGGAGTGGGGCACCTGCCTCCCCACTATGAAGAATGGGCTTGATCTCTTGTCCTTCAGTGACCATGCTCATATTTGAGGGGTCTCCTCCCCATAAATCTGTTGACTGGACCTGGATGGAATCATCAGGTCCCCAGGTTCCAGGGACATCTCCCACACCATAGGCTGCTGACCATACTCCTGGTGGCTCCGATTCCTCAGGGGTCTCCAAAGGGCCTTCTTCTTCATCCTCATCTTCATCCTCCTCATCCTCATTCCAGAACCAACCACCTAAAAAGAGAAAGAAAAAGACAGCTATGAAGGGGGCACCTTGCACATAGCAGGTACTTGGAAAGGAATGTGGTATGGCTTTTAAAAAATGCATTCATTTTAGAGTGATAAGAGGTAGGTTTGAGATCCAGCTCCAGCATGGACCAGCAGCACAAGTAAACACCTGGGTAAACTGTTTAATCTTTCTTTGCTCATCTATAAAATGAGGATAGTAATACTTGCACTCCCAACTTCATAAGACTATAGTGAGAGAACTGCTGGGTAAACTTTAGAGAAACAGGAGTTGTTTTTATTATTATTCTACCCTCTTTCTCCTGTGCCTCATTATGGTGTGAAGATGATAACTGATTGATTTCCCAAAGGCCTTATGTTAGAAAAATACAAATTCTAGTAGGTCCTTACAAGTAGGAAAGATGTTAGGTCTGGTGATCACGGTGAGTCTATCATGTGAGGACTAGCCTCCGTAAACTGGGAGAGGTTCATAACAAAACTGGCCTCAGGGTAATATTTTTCAGTCATGGCGACTCTCGAAGACCATTTAATAAGGCAAAGTGGGTTTGTGATCTGCATTGGTGGAAGGAATGCCCACACCAAGAAAATCAGATCATTCAACCAAAACCACAACAATAAATGGTGTCCATTATTCAAAGTCAAGAGAACAAAAAAAGAATGTTATCAGGAAAAGATATATAATAACAATTTCTTTTAAAAATAAAAGCACATGGGGTGGCTAGGTGGCGCAGTGGATAGAGCACTGGCCCTGGAATCAGGAGGATCTGAGTTCAAATCCAACCTCAGACCAAATACTTGACACTTACTAGCTGTGTGTCCCTAGGCAAATCACTTAACCCCAATTGCCTAAAAATAAAAAAACAAAAAATAAAAGCACACTGTTTAAAAAAAAAAAAAAACACAGGAAAAGTCTAAGGAAGACCATGCCCTCGCCATGAAAGTTTTCAGAAAGTTTATTTTGCCTGTTAGCATCAAAATCAATCAATCAACAAACATTAACTAAGCACTCAATCACCAATAAGATTCGGGCAGGGTGGGGGTCTGAAATAGCTGGGTCTTTTCTTTAGTGGCTCAAGAACACAGACCACATCTCAAAGCTCAATCACCAGAAAATTCTTCTCCCAAGTAACTATGGTGACTGATCAGCTACATGGGGAGACCAGGCCTAGATGCAAAGTAGATAATAAAAGGAACTGGTTAACTCAGAAAATTATCTCAGCTCCCACTGCTGAAGGACATTTGAGGATGAGTCTCATGTGCTTCCCATATCACTACTTCCCTGAATGCAAGGTAGCTCATCAGACACTACATCTAGACAGGTCTTTTCCTGGGGCTAGCTCTATACCTCACGGAAGAGATCTAAAGCTACAATTCAGTGTGAAACTGCTACACACCTTTTTCATCTTCCCTTATACATGGCAATTCACAAAGCTTGTGCTGAGAAGGATCTGGTGCATATTAAAAGAAAAACACCTGCCTCAACTACAAGAGGCAGGCAACATGGTAAAGGAACAATCTCTGGAAATGGAGTTCGAAGACCTGATTCCCAAGGCCAGCTCTGCTAATTTCTACCTGTGTGACCTTGAGCAAGTCATTTAACCTCAGTTTATACATCTGAAAAATGAAGGAGTTGAATTAAGATGACCTTTAACGTCCCTTCCACCTCTAGAGTCTATGTTCCTTTGAGATGTTGTACTGGGGAAAAAAAAAACAGTAAACTAGTTAGGAGACCAGTTCTACCACTAATCTGATATGTTACTCAGGCAAGCCACTTAAATCTTGGAGCTTGTTTTCTCCCCTGCACAGTAGGGACAATAATACTACACAGCCTATCTTCTGTGTATATTGCCAGGATTGAGTGAAATAATGGATTTGAAAAGCACTTGGATACAGCAAAACCCTTTACGAATTTAAGATATTATCACAATTAACTGTAACCAAAAGTGGCAAGGCTTCCTCCAGGTTGTAGCAAAGCAGTTGTTAAAGGACAAATAAAGAACAATGAGATGAAAGGCAGATGTCTGGGATGGGAAGTGAACAAGAAAATACCTCTTACGACTACTGCAACCTAGCAAGGAGCCTTGTTAATGAAGTGTTCTCAGTAAATGCTCGTTTAAGTCAATCCGATTCCATAGAAACACAGAGTCTTAGGTCTGAAAGGGACTTCTGAGATCATCTGTTCAAGCCACTAACAAAAGGAAGAATCCCCCATCAAATACCCCTGACAAATGGTTACCCAGTCTCCAGGTGAACACCTCTGGTTGACAAGGTACTCCACGCCCCCAAGGCAGCCCATTTCACTATTGGACAGTTTTACTAGTTAGACTTTTTTAATATATTAAGACAAAAATCTAAAATCTACCTCTGGTAACTCCTCCCCACTGCTACTAGTTTTGCCCTCAGGGGCCACGCAAAATATGCCTAATCCTTCTTCCATATAGCCCTTCAAATACCTGAGAACAGCTGTCATTGTACCACACATAAATGTTCTCTTTTCCAGATTAAACAAGTTCAGGTGCTTAAATAACTCCTTAGAGGGTCACAGGGGACCTTAAAGGCCACCAAGTCCAACCCCTCAATTTTAGAGATGGGAAGATCAAAGGCATACAGAGGTCTGAGAGACTTGTCCATTTTCCAGGACACAGTTTCAAATATTCTCTCCATCACAGTCATCCTCTTCATGAATTCTCCAGCCTGAATAAATGCCTAAATATAACCCCAGAACTGAATATAATACTCCATTTGTAACTTAACCTTGGATCAAGTTACCTTTCATGAGGTATATGAGGAAATCACTATATAATTACTTCAAAAAAATATTCCATTGTGCTCAAATGTGTTCAGATGTTTAGGGGGGAAAAAGGTCTGGTCCCTTTAACAAACAAGTGGACCTGAACAACTTAATAAAGTTAACAAAGAAGAAAAGAATTAAAAGAAGAAAAACTTAAAGAAGTGATTCAGCGCTAACCGATAACAGAGAAAGGGAGATGTTATTTGAGTGGTTGCTAAGGTAATTTTTCCTAGATGAGAAAGGGAATCCAAAAAAGGTACCAATACACCACATACTGGGCATATCTGGATATACCTGAAACTAAGCTGTGAAACAGAGTATGATCTTTTATGTTTCGAACTGGAACAGAAAAGATCAAGAAAAGGGGGAAATGTGGCTTAAAGTTTTTCCTGAAATAATGGACGTGGCAGCCCCTTCCCACTTTTAGGGCAACTCCTACGCACAAACTACACCTTATGAATACAAGCAGCAGGAAAGAATCCTATAGGGAGTTTTCATAGCTTAAGGCAACAAGGTGAAAGGTAGATCCCCAAAGCCTGAGGGCTCTCAAGAGGCCTGAGTGCTTAGAAGCACAATAAGTGAGAGAAAGTAAAGGTGTTCCTAGGAATGAAAGAAAAGCCAGAGTTAACCTCAACGAGATTTCTCAAAAATTCATTTAGTAGGTGAAGGTTCTTAACCCGTACCTAGCTGTGGGTTTTTTAAACATTATTTCAATATATCAAGCATCTTCAATTTCATATGAGCATGCCTTACACAGATAAAGATTAATTATAAACTTTTCCGTATATGGAACTCTGCGTAAGGAAATGCCCTCTATCAATGCAGAGCAGCATTTACACAGCAATTTTATAATTTTTTAGAGAGGTGCCTGCCTTCGGGCATTTAGTTATCATGGCATAGTAGAGAGAGCCTGCCTTGACGTCAGGATGACAGTTCAAGCCCCACGCTAGGCAAGTTCCTAGCCTGTCAAGTAATTCTCTTAGAGCTACCTGTCTACATCTGTGGACCATTTATCTTTTGGGAACAACCCTGAATCTTGTGACTCCTTTGAATCAGTTCCCTGCCATGGATAGCAGACCTATGTCAGACAAATTTGCTGCAAATATTTTTTCCCCCAGCTAAATGTTTCTCTTCTAATTCTAACTGCACTAATTTCATTTGTGCCAACACATTTTCACTTCATGCAATCAAAAATTTTCATTTTACCTCCCTTGATGCTCAAAGAACTCTTCCTCTATCTACAGTTACAAAAGGTTATCTATCTCCTTCCCTACTCTTCTAATTCTTTTACCATGTGACGTATATCATTTTGGAGCCTATTTTGGTATTGGTCTAAACATAATTTCTGCTAGACTGCCTTCCAGTATTCCCAGCCAGTTTCATTCAATTACCCTAGTAATTTGCCCTAATAATCTTTACCCTAGTAGTTGGGGCTACTGGATTTATTGAACATTTATGCCAATATATTCGTTTGCTTCGGGATCTTATGTTCCTAATGTGTCCCACCAATCAACTTTTCTATTTTTCAACCAGAAGTGAATGGTTTTGATGATATCTTTTATAGTATAGTTTCTGAGATCTGATACAGTTAGGACCCCTTCCTTCTCTCTTTCATTACTGAGATTCTTGATCTTTTGTTCATCTAGATTAATTTTATTACTTTTCTACTCCTATAAAATAGCCCTCCAGTAGTCTGATATGGCAATTAATAAGCAAATTAATTTGAATAGCATTGTCATTTTATTGAATTCATATCCAACCATGAGCAATTAATCTCTTCAGCTATTTAAGTCTGTATTACTATAAAAATATTTTATTGTTGTATTCATGTAATTCCTGTGGATGTGTTAGTATTTGGTCTTCCAAATATTTTATGTAGTCTCTAATTATTTTGAAAGGAATTTCTCCACCCCTTCTAGCTAGTTTATACCAGTAACATGCCAAAAGCCTGATGAATTTATGTGGGTTTATTCTACGTCCTGCCATTCTCCTGAAGTTGTTTCAATTAACTTTAGCTGAATCTCATATCATCTATAAAATGCAACAAATTTTATTTCCTTTTTTGACTATATTTATTCTCTCAGTTTTTTTATCTTAATGCTACAGCTAGCATTTCTATCAATATATCAAATAATAGTGATGATAATAAACATCCTTGCTTTATCCCTGATTTTAAAAGGACAGCCTCTAACATTTC